TTAAAGGCCTTAACTTAAATCTTATAGTACGCTTCTTTTATATCTACCTTAAAGAACACCTTTATATTATTTAAGCAATCTAATAGCTTACTAATTAATAAAAAAGAGTAGTAGTTCTTCTTAGTTACTTAATTTAAACCTTAGTAGTTAACGCATATATATAAAGTATTATTCTTTTTTAAAACGAAAATTACTAGGGCTTTAGCTAGACTATTACTATAAGCAATCTGCTTGTTTACTAATAACTTGTTAATAAAGTAGCAAAGCTTCTTTTGCTAAGCAAAAGATAGTAGGTATAAAAGACTATATAGCACTTTTACGCTATCTTCTAGCTTAATTAAGTGCTTTGCGTTTATTAACAAAGGCAGTTTTTTTACCTTATTAGTATTAAATACTTTAGTAAACAGTTATATACAAAATAGTAGTTGCTAGCTAGGGTCTAGTAAAGCTAAATTATTGTTTATAGTAGAGATGTCTAGTTTATAAAGACTTAAATCTAACTACGTTAAGTAGATAGTAAACAACTTCTTACTATTATATAAGCGTTAGCTTATTTGATTAAAGGTCTTAAAAACTATAATAGTAAAGAACTAAGCTTATTAAATAGTGTTAATAATAACGCCTAGAAACCTTAGTTTTTTATAACTTAAGATAATGTCTTTATAGTTAACGCTTACTTAGTAAACAGCTATAAAGACTTATATTAACACGTAAGAGACCTTATCCTTTATTAGTATAATAGTTAGCTTATATAGGCCGCAAGCCTATAGTGCTTTCTTATTAATAAAAACTAGGTTTAAGTTTAAGTACTACTAAAGCAGCTTTAAACTAAGCTATTAAATAACCTTTAGGTTAATTATATTTAGGTTAGTATAAGAATCTAAGTTTATAACAATAGTAGCTTAGCGATTACTAAGCGTTTATGCCTTAGCTAAGGTATAGTAGTAAGGAATTATATCCTTAGTTAGCTATGCTAGTAAGGTTAATAAAAAACAAAGCTTCTTTATTAACCCTACTAATTTTCTTAGTTAGAGTAGGTTGCCTTCTAGTTATTAAGCTTTTAAAGACTATCTTTTAGTTTTACTTAAAGCTTCTTAACCTATATGCAAGTTTTAGGCTTAAAGCACTCTTAAAAGGTATGCTTACTCTTACTATAATTCTAGCACTTTAACGCAACATTAATATTATTTAAACTACTAAGGTTAAAAGGTTAAGAAGTAAACTAACCTTAGCTAGCAACTAGTTATAAGCTTAGGTTACTCTTTATAAAACCGTAGTTTCTTATCTTATTATTATCGCAGCGCTATTTCTTTATTAGCCCGCTAGCTAGCACGCTATTAACTATAACTGCTTACGTCTAGTTATCCTATCTCTTCTTTTGTTTCTAGCCCTAAGACTAATACTCCTTATAAGTATTAAGAATCTTTATTACTATACTAAAAGACTTGCTAATAGTTTTATTTTAATACTACTTTGCTAAGTAGTTATTAAGCCTTTGCTAATACCTCTAGGCAATCTTGCCTACTTAATTAAAGGTGTTACTAATCTTTCGTTGTAAGTAGTTTTATTTCTACTAGTACGCTATTAGCAACTTACTGCCTTGCTAAAGCGTCTAGCTTTCCTTATAAATGCAGTGCATCTAGAATTTAAGGTTTAAGTGTTCTTAACAGATAAACTTAATAAAGTACGTTTATATAAGGCGTATAACTAAGGGTTTACTAGCGTAGAGTTAGTTGCAGTGCTTTTGCTAATTAGCCGCTAGTATAGTAGTTAACCAACTACTTGCCTAAATAATCTTTATATTTTTTAACGCGTTGCTGCGTGTATTAGTGTTATAAGCGTTCTTTATTATTGCTAACTACTCTTCTATCTTTATAGTAAAGGCACTAATTTCTAGCCTTTTAATGCTATATTATAGTAGCTTATTATTATAGTAGCAACTGCTAAGTAGTAGCCCTATAACCCTTATAGCTATAATGTTAGTTAATGCCTTTAGCGTCTATATAATACAAGTGTATTTATCGCTTTACAGCTGCTTTTTAGCCAGCAAGGTGTTGTTAAGCAGCATATATACTAGTCTTATTTCCAACTTAACAGACAGGGTTAAGGTGCCTATAGATGCTACGCGCAAGGTATAGCTGCCGTGCATTAGCGTAGAGGGTGGCATTAGCACGTCCTTAGCTTCTAACAGTTTGCGTGCTAATTGTAGAGTAGCCGCCCTATAATCGAACATTGCTTCTTATAGAATAAAAGTTAAAGAATGTAAGAGGGTAGTGTACAATGCGTAGTTACAAAGGCTTAACCGGTTTATACTATTATATTAAGACTTTAACTTAACAAACTATAGGAGACTAGTAGGCGAAGGCCTGCCAGCTAATATATACGTGGCTAGAAGATGCGGTGTAGCGCAAACCTAGTAGGGCGTAGCACAGCTATATAGCTGTGCTAGTCCTATATAACGTGTTAAGATAGTTTGTTAAGTTCGTCGCTTAGTAAGCGACTAGTTGCCGAACCGGTGCGTAGGGACGCGTGTGTAGAATACCCTTACAAACAAGCACTACTACTACTAAGAATAAAGGCTGCAAGCCTTTTGTTAAGACCTGCTTTAAAGGAGTTAGGCATAAAAGAGGAGTAATTATAACGCCGCCCTAAGAAGGAGACCGACGTAGGCTACGCGCAAGCTGTACACAGTATATGCATAGCGTATTAAATGCACATTATAGACTAAAAGCGGTGCTTATAGCGCAGGCTGCGTAGCGCAGTCTGCGCATAGGCCACAGCACGTGCTAGCGTACAGGCTAAGTAGAAACGGGGTCGCGCCTGCCCTGCGCACTTGGTGCGCTAGAGGTGCGCCTATAATAAAAAGCGCCTCCCGCACTCTCTTAGACTATAGAAGGCAAGAATTAGCTATTAAATATACGGCTGCTTTCTCCTGTTAAGAAGATACCTTCTTGCTTGCTTAACTTACCTAGCCTACCTAAGTACACCTTTAATAATAATTTAACGTTTGTATTTACTTAGGCTTGTTTTTAAGACTATAGGTTAAAGAAGTTTAAAGGGCTATTATTAATAGTTTCTTCTTTTAATTTAAGTTAGTAAAGTACTTTTTTTATAAAGTAGTATTAATTAACTTACTAGTTTATAAACCTTTTTTAGTTTTAGCCTTTTTATTAAAGGCTATAGATAAATAAAGACGCTTATAATGCTTTATATAGTTTAAGCTTTCAAAGCCTATAAGCGTATTAATCTTCTTATAGTTACACTTATTAGTTAGTTAGTTAGTTAGTTAGTTAGTTAATTAGTTAGTTAGTTAGTAAAATATTACTTATGTTGTATACTTTACTAATACTTTTCTTTCCTTATTTTCTTTATAAGGTAGTAAAGTCTATATATTTAACATATAATTAATAATATAACTTGTTAATTTAAAATCATCTAAGATAAAATTAAGGTTATTATAAAAAGTATGCTGCTTACTTCTTTTATTACTAGAAGCAGTAATAAAAGAAGTAACTTTAGAGTTAAGGTTAGTTATATAGTCGTTAGAGTCTATTTTAACTAATAAAAGTTAGTAAGCTATATAATATAAATATACCCTTTAACACCTTTTAATTATAAAAAGATACAAAATATAATATTTATAAGTTTTACTACTTATTCTTTAACTTAAAGTAGTAATATATAAGCTTAAGTAAATGCTTATATATAAGTTAAAGAATAATCTTTATAGCTTATAAGCTTTATAGATTATCCCTTAGTTTAAATTATTAATATATATAAGCTTAAGTTTTTGCTTAAGATATATTAAGTAAGATAAACTAAGGAATAAGCTATATTATAGATTATAATATAACCTATACAAATAAAGTATATAAAGTAAAGTAAAAGAAGGGATATAAATAAAATATAACTTACTAGTAAGTAAAATAAAAAAATAAACTAAAAGTATGTTATTACTATTGCTGTTGCTGTTGCTGTTGCTATTGTTTTTGTTTTATTTGTGTTATTATTATAGTAATTAAAAAAATATAGAGTAAAGGAGGATAAAGGCTGGTATTTATATATCTTATATTAGTTTAGACGCTTCTAGAATATCTAGTTGGTAATTACTATAGAAACTTCTAGACTACTTAGTTACTAATTACTATAGAAACTTCTAGAATACTTACTTATTAATTACTACTATAGTACTCTAGTACTTAAGTACTACTAGTATTTTTCCCAACCCTGGCTGCTGGTGAATAGTACGAAAATGGGAGACAAGGACAGGAGAAAGGAGTAGAGAAAAGTATTAACACGCAAGCTTTTGTATTAATGGGCGGTATAGAAACGGACACAAAAGGGCCGAACTTAGTAAATAAGGCTGAACGACGTCGAGACCTGTAATTATGTTTGACAGGAGCTAATTGCACCTCACTTTCGATATCTACGGGCTATTTTGAGTAACACATAATACAACCTGACTAAATTACTCGGAGTTAGCCTGCGAAGTCTATAATCGATGTCCCCTTTTAGTATACTTATATCGCTACTTTTACCACTAGGCGCTGTACATTCGCCATTATTTCATGCACTCGGGTGCTACAATCCAATTTTACGAGAAATAAAAAGAACATGCGTCGTAAGATTTGAACAGCCAGCTTAATATAAATTTGGAACTCGTGAGCAATTCTCGTATAACAGCGTGTTCGTAACAATCAAGCGCTGCATAATGTCAGATTGGAATCAGGTCGGCCCAAGTCGGCTTAAAGACGTCTATTTGAGATGGTGTGTAATTTGCTGTCGGCACATCGGTTGCTTCGAAAAGAGTAGGCCAATTCCTCGCACTTGTGCCACCAGCAAAAAAAGAGACAGCGCCCCAGGCGGGGGTCGAACCCGCAACCTCTGGATCTCTCTGAACGGAAGTAAAAGTCCAACACTCTAGCCAATTGAGTTACCAGGGCTTGGTATCGGATAAGAAAAAGATGCCATTGGCTTCACTAGACTTGAACACAGAGGAGCTAACGCCAGGTGCTGCTGTCTACAACGACTGTCCCAACACAACTAGAGGACACGGTGAACGACCTGTTGGGATCGCTCTCCCAGATGACAGTACCGCCACTGCCTACTTTCATGTACTTGTACTCAAATGCAGTGCCAGTGGGCAGCGTGACCGTGACGAACCAAAGCGGATTAGCGGTGGTGTAATTGGCTGCGGACAAGGCTACAGCGTTGGCTGTATTCCAATTGCCAAGCTGGGAGATAGATCCCGAGATGAAAATGTTTTCACCGTACACGGTGGTCACCGTCTCCTTGAATATGACGGGAAGGGCTGTTGCTGTTGTACAAGCGGTGGTGATAGTGGAAGATGAGGATGTTGCAGAGGACGCTTTCGTCGAAGCCGAATTGGTAGCAGTCGCAGACAACACAGAAGAGCCACACAGACCGCTGTCACTGATCCAGGAAGCCGGGACAAGGATTCTGGGAAGGCCCGAAGACATCGGAACAGCTACATTGCCGGCTGAATCTGCGGCGAGGCTTGCGCATGAATATGCCTCGACGAAGGAGGCATCAGCAGTGTAACCAGTTTCAGTGCTGTTGAGGGTGAGACTGTAGCTACTGCCACCCTGACCGAGGTTGCTGACAATAGTAATAACCTGACTTCCAGAAACGGATCCTTTTCGCATGGCGAGCGTGGTGGTATCCTGGTAGAAGGGGGTATTTGGCGCGGTGGTCCAGGCAGAGTCACGGGTGGCAACAAGGCTGCGAATCTTGTTGGTAGTGCGGAGGAAGACATAAAGCTCGGCCGTGATGTTATATCCGGAAAGCCAAGTCGCCTCACGATTGGCCGGGTCTGCACCGCCGCTGTAGTGCTGCTCCTGGCCAGCATAGACGATGGGGATGCCGTCGCTGAGAAAGAGAAATACTAGCGCATTTTTGGCCAGGGAATAATCGGTCGTGTAGCTGGCAAACCGAGGGTTGTCGTGGTTTTCGACGAAAGTGCCTAATAGCGTAGCGTCAGTGCAATCGGCCGCCACTGAGGCTACCATGCTGTAGAGGCTACTGATACTAGAAGAGGTGCCGGAACCGCTAAAGACGCTTATAAGCGGATAGTAGATCGGGTAGTTCAACAGACCGTCCAGGTACTTCTGGTAAGCACAGGCATAGTCCGGGTCGCCGTCGAAGACCTCGCCAACGCAATAGACCCCGGCAGCATCGTTAAAACCAGACCAAAATGACTTCTGCACATGCTTTACGGTGTCTATACGCAGACCATCAACTGGATAGTTTGTTAAAAGCAGGCTTGTGAGACAGTAGAGAGGTGAGTACTTACCCGAGTAGTTGGTTACCAGAGATGACACCCAGCTGTACCATATGTCTTGAACAGCTGTTTGGGATGTGTTGAGGTCCGGCAGAGACACAGATGAGTCTCCAAGCCAGCAGTCCTCTACCTCTGTTTGGTTTTCATAGTTGGAGATGAGGCAGTAAGGGTGGAAGTAGCTCGCGGCGTTGAACGGGTCGAACACGCTGTAGTCCACGGATGAGTCACTGCCATCGTAGCCCTGGTGTCTGTCAGTACGTGGGTCCCGTCAAGACTGTATTTACGCCCCCTCTAGCTCACCATGTGGTTCGCCACCACATCGACCATGAGGTACATTCCACGGTCGTGCAGCGCTTTGGATAACTTCAGGAGGTCACTTCCGGTTCCATAGTTGGGGTTTAAATCATATCTGTCAGAGTGTCAACAAAGAGCCACATCAAGAGAAGGGCAGGTTCTCCAACTGACATGTCCTGTTGCCAGTACCCGTGATACGACGTCCCATCAGATGTGCTTTCGTAGAATTGCCCCGTCACTGGTGTGATCCATACGGCTGTGAAGCCCATTCCTTGAATGTAATCCAGCTATGGACAAGTATAAGCAAGTGCCAGAAGTGCGCCTAATCGCACTTACCTGGTTGATAATTCCCTGCCAGCTTCCACCGCAGTACGCCTGTAAGCTTTAGCCGATCGACTCTAAGTACAAACTAAGACAGAACCAGAGGCTAACCCTCTTGCTGGTGTCGCATGCAGCAGTGGTGCTGTTGTCGGTGCGGGCAAACCGGTCTGTTAGAAGAAAGTAAATAGACTGGCCGCGCCACTGTACTGGAGTCAGTGCTAGGGCGACTTGGCCGAGGAGGGCCCACAAGGCGATGCAAGACCATCTAATGTGGCTATAGTGAGTGTGATACATAGTGCATATGTTACAATAGGCAGCAGACAGCTGACATCTGCCTTCCATAGACGATGCACGACATGCAGGAATGACAGCCAAGACCTTTTAAGCCAGCCCTTCGATAGCAGCGTCCACGGTTGGAGATCTCGCGGGGAAAGTGGAGATACTTCGGCTCCTTGGTTCACCGACTTGGTTCGGCCCCCAGGTAATGCTCGGCAAGGCAGCATGACCAGTGGGCGAAGTTGTTTGATCGGCGTTTGTACCGCTAACTGCATTTGGCAGCTCGACTGCTACATGCGTCTGGCCACCACGATCTTCGTCGGCCTCTCATGACGGTGGGCCGAAAAGCGTCTTCCGTCTCCGGAGTGCCACCGAAACTTGGCTTGTGTTGGTGACCATCTCCGGCCGACCTGCCTGTCGTAGTACAGCGTTGCGGTGCGCTTCCTCTTCGGGTATGCTCTGTGTGCACACGGCAGCGCCAGCGCACAGGCCACGAGGAGCACTGCAGCAATGATAGGGCCGAAAGAGTCAAGTGACGATGCAACGTTTTCGAGCGTGGCTTCCGGCCTAGCTGGCCGACTTTGTGGAGACCCCGCATGCCGGAGCATGTGACAGGTTTGGCGCGGAGAGAGCCGCGATGGTATGACTCGTTGGCCAGGGGTTGGGGCCTAGATTGAATGGCGGCTCCTGAGTGGTTTTTGGTGCGTGGCGAGTGTAAATGTGGAGAGTGGATAGAGACTGATGAGTGGTGGAGGAAAGAGCTGCGAGTCTGATTGTCATTCCTGCCAGCTATTTTATGGTTTATTTTACGATTTCTTTTATTTCTGCTCACCTACTTTCTTTTCTTTCCATTTCGGCCCTATTGTCACGCTCGGCCTGAGCGCGTATGCCTTTCCTCGAGAAGTATTTAAGGAAGGGGTGCCCGATACCCCAGACAGACTCTTCTTTGCCTCCCCTCCAGCAATTGAGCTCCTCAAGAGGTCCTCATCAGGCCCTCATCTCCTGATCACACTCTGACCCACTCAACTCTCCCTCCGCCCCACTCTACCCAACATGCTTCTGTCTGTCTCTCGCGCCCTATGTGCTCTTACCATAGGGCGCGTCGCCTTGGCTGCACCATCTTCGCTCGACGCCCAGTTGCGCTTCCGGGAGAGCACTAGCCTGGACAGCTGGTTGGAATCCGAGGCTACCATCGCGATCGACCGCATCCTCGCCAACATTGGCAACAAGGGCCAGTACGCTACCAGTGCAGACAGTGGCATCATTATTGCTAGTCCAAGCACTGACAGTCCCGACTGTACGTGAAGGCATCACCCAATCTGGCAATTATCATTCTCATTCTCATATCCAGCGGTCTCGTGATGCCATAGTCCCGTGATGCTCATCGTGCTGACTAAGGAAGATTACTACTCCTGGAGTCGCGATGCCGCGCTCGTGGCCAAGACGCTGGTAGAGCTGTTCCGCAATGGCGAGACCAGCCTGCAGACGACGTTGGAGAATTATGTCAACGCACAGGCGGTGTTGCAGACGGTCTCCAATCCATCCGGCTCACTGTCAGACGGCACCGGACTCGGCGAGCCCAAGTTCAACGTCGATGAGACTGCCTTCACCGGCAGCTGGGGTCGGCCACAGCGCGACGGACCGGCTTTGCGGGCAACAGCCTTGATTGACTTTGGAAACTGGCTCCTGGTGCGTTGGTTGTGGTACTGCGATTATCTTTTTCGATTTCGAAATGACTTCTACCGTTTACAATATTAACCCGCTGGTTGACCTCAGGACAACGGCTACTCCTCATATGCAATCAACAACATCTGGCCAATTGTTCGCAACGATCTGTCCTATGTAGCTGAATACTGGAACAATACAGGCTACGGTGAGCATCTATCCTCAGGCTGCAGTATGTGACACCCGTGTCTAATGCTTTCATCTCAGACCTCTGGGAAGAAGTCAGCGGTTCCTCTTTCTTCACTGTCTCAGCACAGCACCGGGCTCTGGTGGAGGGCAGCTCATTTGCGGCTCGCGTCGAATCGTCATGCACATACTGCGACTCGCAGGCACCGCAGATCCTCTGCTATCTGCAGAGCTTCTGGACGGGCAGCTACGTCAACGCCAACTTTGGGTACAGCCGGTCAGGCAAGGACGCCAACACACTGATCAGCAGCATCCATACGTTTGATCCGAGGGCGGGATGTGACGACAGTACGCTTCAGCCGTGTTCAGCACGGGCGCTAGCGAACCACAAGGTCTATGTGGACGCATTCCGGAGCATCTACAGTATCAACAGCGGCTTGGCTACGGGTAAAGCAGTCGCAACAGGCCGCTACCCGGAGGATTCATACTACAACGGTAATCCTTGGTTCCTGACCACGTTGGCCGCCGCGGAGCAGCTGTACGACGCTATCATCCAGTGGAATGCGACAGGTTCGCTGACCATCACGTCCACGTCGTTGTCCTTCTTCACGGACCTGTACAGTTCAGCCGCTGTCGGAACATACTCGTCCTCGAGCTCGACCTATAGCGCCATTGTTTCAGCCGTCCGTACGTATGCCGACAGCTTCGTCAGCATCGTCCAGACTCACGCCATGACCAACGGCTCCCTCTCGGAGCAGTTCGACAAGTCTTCCGGAACATCGCTGTCTGCCCGCGACCTCACCTGGTCCTATGCTGCCCTGCTGACGACCAATATGCGCCGTAATGCAGTTGTACCAAAGCCCTGGGGCGAGACGACCGCATCCAGCGTGCCGGCCGTCTGCTCGGCCACCTCAGCCATCGGCACCTACAGCACCGCACCCACGGCCTCGTGGCCGAGTTCCCTGACGAGCGGAACGGCTTCAGCGACGGCGACGAAACCATCCAACACTGCCACCACGAGCATCTCCTCCAGTACCTGTAGCACCCCGACAGCAGTTGCCGTCACATTTGATGAAATTGCCACGACGTCATATGGCGAAAATGTGTTCCTCACAGGCTCAATTGCAAAGCTTGGAAGTTGGAACACCAGCAGTGCCATTGCCCTCAGTGCTTCCGACTACACATCCTCCAACAATTTCTGGTTCGTCACCGTTAGTCTCCCGGCTGGCACTACCTTTGAGTACAAGTTCATCCGCGTTGAATCTGGTGGTTCCATCGTTTGGGAGAGCGATCCCAATCGCTCCTACTCCGTACCCTCTGGCTGTGGGATCTCTACGACCTCGGTGAGTACGACGTGGCGGTAACGGAGGTCTGATATGAGCAAAGACGATTGTGGCCATCTAGTCAGGACGGTCTAAATTGCACATCTTTGGGGAAATGCTACTGCAGCTATGGTTTTGTTCTACAAGCTTGCCGCCTGTCTGTGTAAAGGGAAACTAGGGTGATTTTGTAGTCGTTCCTACATGATCATAAACATGTTTTTTGAACTTTTTGACCCGCAATCAACACCTTGCTTTCGCTCCAAAAAGGAGCTAAAATTGTTGTCACGTAATCACGGCTCTAGTGGACCAGCCAGGACGTGGGATTAAAGTGGTGTCTGTAAATATGGGTCCTGTCCTGAACGGTGCTGTTACTCCGTAGTGTTAGTAGTGATGGTAGTGATGATGGTAACGATGCTACCGCTGCTACATCAAAGATTTTAAGTAGAGTTGCCGTTCAGTCGGCTAAATAACGACATACACCACTCCGTACGGAATACAGGGGTGCATATTCCGGATCCTGCACGGCCATAGTACCCCCCCACAGCCACAAGCTTTATAGCTGCACAATCAACACCGTACTGGCCATTGATAGAATGAGGCGAATCCATTTCAAATAGCTAACAAAAGAAAGCAAGAACGTACCTCTCACTGTACGCGGCTAACTACATTTGTCAAGACACACAATCAGCTGGTGGTCATGCGGTCCTTCATCGGCTTTGCTGCTACGTCTTCCTATATTGGCCTGATGCACATAGTCAACTCGTAGGTTCTTAAGCCCGTATACGATACGTTATGAACGTCGTTTATACACAGCCTGTCTTCTGACACACCGCAGAAACGCTTCGCAGCAGAAACGCCCTTTTGGGTTGCCAGCCGATTGGCTAGCTGATGGCCGATTACTTGCAGGCTTACGCTTACACCAACCTGAAACACGGCTACGGCTTGCAGGGGTGAAGAAGGGTGCTTATCCTGTGTTTTGTTATGACTAGCCCTATTGCATTCATCGGCGTCATCTTCTTCCCTAATATGCCCACTTGCTCCCGCTAGCTGACGGCGGAACAAAAGCAGCTGGGTGTGAAGCGGCTCCGAGAGGAAAGATTTTCAGCCCCCAAAGGTCAGAACAAAATGATCCTGCGACGTGTTCTGGGCACGTGGAGCTTCCTGGCTTTCGTCATAATGCTGGATCTCTTCTATGAAATGAGATACTAATCATTATTGAATAGCTTGAGCAGCACTTCACTGGCTGGCGGACTTTGCTGGGCAGCCACTTGTGGGTACAGACACGTATGTGTTTCCCAGATGGGACGAGAGAGTTGGGCCGAGAAGGGATTTGCTATTCTTTAGCTGAAGGAAAAGTACTGGAAAGGAGTGGGAAAGGCTGCTACAATGCGGCAAGAATGCAAAGTCTATTTGCGAGAACTGTGATAAGATGATAGTTTTGTGTCTATAATTGTCTTCCAGCTCATGATTCCAACGCTACAATTGGGTTCTCTGTGTTCGCAGAAATATACTACTGATGACAGCACAAACAGCATAAGCTGCTGGAAGCCAAAGGCCTAAGCCAAGAGCTCGGCCGTACGCTGTCGCAACGATCGCCGCAAGGGTTGGGTCCAGATCGGAGAGAAAGTCGAGGCTGTGCCGAGTCTGCGAGAGGATGTAGCTGACATCGTCGGCATCGAGCGTGGATTGCAGGATAGCACCAAGAGATTTCCGAGTCAAGGCGGAGGTGATGGAAATACCGGTGATTGATCCGATGACGCGGAAGAGGTAGCAAGACGAAACAGCTATTGCCTGTTCCTCCTTCTTGGCAGAAGCGACTAGAGGAGGTTAGGTGAGAGTTGTAGTGAAGAGGCATCTCTGATTATGAATCATGATTGAAAAAAACGGATAGAAACACACCGGGATTGACAAGAGAAGTAATAATTCCAAACCCGTTTCCAAGGCCCGCCATAGCGTTTCCGAAGAGGAGAACGGCCAGGCGAGTAGAAGACCGAGCACCATTGGCAATGGAGACGTTCCCGAGGGCAACCATGGCATAACCGAATATGTTGAGGCGGTACAAATTAAAGGAGCGCTTGAGCAGAAATCCGGACAAGAGCGTCCCAATGACCTCCGCGATTGTTCCAGGCAGGAGCAAAAGGGAGGCTTGGAGGGGAGATGCATCACGGGTTACCTGGTAGATCATGGCGAGGGAGTAGGCATGAGCTACATTGGCACCAAAGGCGAAGAGGCTGGAGAGGTAGGCAGGTAGACGAGACCGGCGGGCGACCCAGGCAGGGGGGGTGAACGGCTCAACGGCCACGGCGGTCTCGATGTGGAGAAAGATCGCTGCGAAGAGGGGGAAGGCGACAAGAGGAGCCCAGCAGAATGGACTGGCCCAACCGACATTGCTTCCACGGTCGAGGGCAACGAGGAGAGAGAGGATAGCAGCGAAGAGGGAGAAGGCACCAGGAAAGTCGATGCGAGTGAGGGGAGACGTAGGAGAATTATGTGGTTGGTGTAAATCGATGGATTCCCGAAATTCGTGAGGCTCAACGGTCGTAGGAAATGCAGATGTCCTGGCATAACCGGCAGACGAGGGCAGAACTAGGCTGACAGCAACGAATGCGAGGATGCTAAAGGGGATCTGCACAAAGAAGGAGACCCGCCAGCCCCATGTCGACTCGGCAAATGCGCCACCGATCGGACCTCCAGCTCCGGCTCCAGCAGCATAGACAATGTTTAAGAGGCCCTGCCAGAGGCCGCGGTCTTCGAGTGGGACAATGTCGGTAAGCAGGATGCTGACAAGCGTGGTCATGCCACCACCGCCGATGCCCTGGCAGAGACGAGCGGCAAAGAGCTGCCAGATGGAGCCGGAGAGGCCGCAGAGGAGAGAGCCGAGGCCGAAGGTAGCATAGGCGAAGAGCAGACAGCGGCGGACGCCAAAGATGTCACTCAGGCGGCCGTACAGCGGCTGGAAGGTGCTGAGGGTTAGGTAGTAGCCCAGGGCGACCCAATTGGCCTCACCAAGGGCATCTAGATCGTTGCCGATGCGGCCGTACGAGGCGATGACAATGGTGGAGTCGGCAGCGGAGAGAAAGATCTGACAGTCAGCGAGAGTAGCTTCAGCCGACGACGCCATGCACTCACCCCAATCCCAGTGGCCGCAATCACGGCCAGCGGCCTGTTCGCGCCATGGCGGGAATCCAGATGGCTGCCGGGGGCCGAGTCGGTGCTCTCTTCGTATTCCATCGTGTATGAAAATGAAAAGTATAAAAGATTCTGTCGGCTGGGCCGACGGATTTTAGTGTGCCAGGAATTGCGGTCTTGTAGTAGTAGCAGTAGCCCGACGCAAATTGTGCGTGTGTAGTGAATCACTTCATACATGGTGGGTACTTCGAACTACTCGGTCAAGGTTGAGAAGGTTTTTATGTGCTGCCATTCGGACGTGCTGCATCCGGGTTGTCCCAATGGTATAATAAAACGCGTTGTATATTGCCAAAAGCATTGTGACATAAGCCAATGCATCCGTCCCAGACCCTCTTTCGAGAAGGCTTCCAGTATTGCAACTATCCTATAGCTATTTCAGACCGCCGCAACGTTAGACCGCTCCAGCTTCGAGAACTTTGGCCCACGCATCTCCATCAACTCGGCCCAAAACCCGACAGGGGCTTCTGTTTCGAGTGCTTCGTACTCGCGGATGGCCTCGGATTCCCACACCAGATCGACCTCGTGCGGTCGACGAAAGCTGGTGCGCTTAATTAGTTTCCAACTGACGAACAGAATGGGGGCCAGGATGGCCATGGTGTAGTAGGTAAAGAAGTTTTGGACGCTCCAGGGCCGAAAGCTGGAGTATCCGTAGAAGACCACGACCACAGTCATCCACGTAAGTCCGATGTATGCGCAATAGGGCTGAAAGTAGCCGACATATGGCAATTGAGTACGGTCGAACCCTTGGGCTTTGCAGGCGCGGTAAAAACAAATGTACGTCGTCGTGATGACGATGTAGTTGATGATCCCACCGGCCGTGACCAGGTTCACTAACCACGTCAGGACCACATTTGACCCGTTGGAGACCGAGAGGAAGGAGAGGAACGGAAAGCATATGACGATGCAGAAACACAAGAGCGGGTTTCCACGCCAGCACTTGGTCAGGATCTTGGGAGCCCGACCCTCAAGGGCAAGTCCATACAGACTGTGGGTGGCACAGTAGCAGTACGTGTTTCCGGCGGAGAAGATGCTGGTGAAGAGCAGAGCATTAACAATATGTGGCAGCATATCAACGCCTAGGTTTTCCATGGCAATGACGTAAGGCGATGCTGCAGCCGTGCCTGAGCCAGAGCCTCCAGCCAGGACCGGATCGTTGTAAGCCACAACGATGCCACAACACAGCGACCCGAGGATGAAAAAGGCACCGAAACGCCAGTAGACTGTTTTAAACGCGTTCTTAATGTAGATGCGAGGGTGCTTGGCTTCGGCCGCCACCATTGAGATGTATTCAGGCCCAACAACAGTAAAGGAGGCCGACCAGAGCGCAGCCAGGAATCCCTCGAGCCGACCCAAAGCCCCTTTGGAGAGATGCTCGGCAAACGATCCCGGGTGCTTCCAGTAACGGAAGCCGTATGCGTCGTGCTGCGGGTTGCCGCCCACCATCGTCACAAAGGTGAAGCAGTAGAGCATGACAATAAGGAAGACCTTGCCTATTGCGAGCCAGAACTCAGCCTCGCCGTACACTTCCACGACAAAGATGTTTAAAACGCTTTAATTAAGACCCGATGAAGTGTACCGAAAAATTAGTATTCAGCGGTGATCCTCAATAGTGTATCGTGTCACATTATATATAGAATGGAATGGAGGTGCGTCTGTTCCTTTGAACTTTCTCTCGGTTACTGTACTCGGGTAGGATATGGGCATCCGACATACGGCGGATGACCATACCTGCTTTCCCTCGCTATACTCTACCTGATCTTAATCCGCAGAGCGTAGCTGGATGTGAATAGGAGACTGGACAGCGCTGGGTATTGCCTGCCTATACGTATTTGCAAGTGGAAGGAAGCTTTTAAAACGGAAAGAAAATAAGGGGAATAGTGAAAGGGTGATAGAGGAAGGCTCACATATATGCAGCAATGCAAACACCGCAGACGGCAGCAGTTGGTATGTCGTCGCGCCAATACGTTAAGACGATCGACAAGGCAGATATCTCAAAGGGTATGAGCAGCGCCTCGTAGAGGAAGAAGTTCCACCCAGCCATAAAGCCGAGCGAGTCGTCAACCCATTTCCCTGCAAGACGGATAAAGCCACCGCTCACTGGCATGTAAACTGTCATTTCGGCAATGCAATTATTGACCAGACCCAGGACAATGCTGTAGAGGGTGTAAGCAATGAACAGACTGCCAGGGCCGCCCTTATTCAGTCCACCGCCAATGCTCAGGAAGAGCGCCGTGCCAATTGACCCGCCGATGGCTATGAGCTGAATGTGGCGGTTTTGTAGCCGACGTGTTAGCGAGTCAGCACTTCCACGTGCTGCTTCGGAGGAAGAAAACCTAGGACCCAACTGCTCCAGAGACGATTGCTTCTCCTTGGCATGCACTAGCTCGGTAGTGAAGCCACGATCGTTAACTCCTGATGTTGAATGAAACATTGTGATCGCAAAATATAAGTATTGAAATTGAAGAAATTGAAGAAAGTGGAAAGGATTTTAAGCAACAAAAGGCACGACAAAGGACTGCGAGTTATATTATACATGCAGTGTATCGAACAGTGCGACTTTCCAAAAGGCGGTGGCCTAACCAAAAAAAAAAAAAAAGGTAGTGCGAAGTGAACGCCTGTATTTTCGGCGCTTTCTCTTGCATTGGTGCTTAGTCCGGTGTGCCAAGTTGCTGCCATACAGTGCAACTCGGCAAACATGTCCATTGTGATGTCATCTGGAGGCCAATATCGTACGGCTCTTCTTGGCGTGGGATGCCATTATAATTTACGAGTTGTAGTACGTATCACTTTACTTCTCGTAATTCGTAAATCGAGAGGGAGGCTGCAGCACTACGGTCCATTGTTGCACTGTCTCGAAAATCAATGCACCCGCTCCGATGGGAGACACGAGGTACGGTACATGCAGCATTTTGAGTAGCACTATATTATCATTGACCAAAGTCGTACCTAATGAAGCTATTGGTAATTATTATCACATTCTTCGATATAGCTAGTTTTCTGGAGTCATCTGCTGTACAGTTACAGAATTGGCAAAGCGCCCTTGAAGGCGTGGCAAACTAGTGAGTCTGAGATTCGAAACACTCTGCCTTGATAATCAACCCAAAAATTAATGCAAGTACCATTATGGAAAGATATTATCTTACAAAAGAGCAAAGCAAGTTTCCATTGTACGTAAACGACTTGCATTTAGTCGCAAAAGTACGCAGTACATTATACGAGTACGCAAGCAAAACCAAGTTCCCGTATTGCTAGGTGGCACTTGCCGATTTCGAACTAGGGTAGTGCGGGGTAGATCTTCTTGGCCACACCGTTACCGATCTCTGTCGTGGCCTGTGCCTTCTGTCAATGGCAGGGGAAGATGTTGCACGTGACCTTGTGGGTCACTGTGCAGACTTTTCACTGCCGCAGTGCATCCACTAGCTTTAGCTTCCTTTCAGAAAATCCCATGCTTTTCTTCCATAAGGTCATAAGCCCTCTTAATCCGCACTCTTTATCAAAAGCATCATTTATTTTCATCTTACGAGCTTCTCCGACTTCGTCGGCTTCCTTAAGGCCTTTTTCCCGGTTATTTTGACCAGAAACTACCTAACTTGTGTTTTTTCGCCTATTTTCGCACTAACTTGCAGCTTTAATTTGCACCCTTGCATTATTTTTATTTAAGAGCCTCTTTTAAGCCTCCTTTCTTATATAACGGCATTGTTATTGCTAACCTCTTTTAGGCAGCATTTTCTTGCTGTGTAGGATTGTTTTATTTTAATTATTTTAACTAAAAACGTTTAGACTTTAGTTTAAGGCAAAAATTGTTTTCTTTTTACTTATTTTTTAGTACCTTTTGTTAGTAAGGCTATTCTTTATAGTAGTTATTATAAAGTATACTACTTCTTTAGGGTTAGTAATATACCTTCTTATACTAGATAATACTAATTTAGCCTTTAAAATAACTCTCTTTTATTAATCCTTAATTAACTTAATATAAAGGATTTTATTTAAGGCTAGTACTACTACTAGTTGTAGTAACTAACGCTTTTAGCGTTAAAACAAATAACTTTAAAGTAGCTTGCAAAGATTAGCAGCTTAAACTAAATACTATAAAAAACTATATTTGTAACAGGCTATAGCCTAGAATAAGCCTTAGTTTTACTCTTAGCCTTTTTAGATAAAGAGTTAGCCTAAAGTAGACACTAAATTTTAGGCTACCTTAATCTTAACCCTCTTATCTCGCCCGCTTTAAGCCTAGTCACTTCGGCAGCTTTACCATTTAGATCGGATAAGCCCTCTAATTCGAATAGTACTACTATTAGGCCTAATAGACCGATCTTAGAAGAGATAGGAAGCTAATTAGCTAGGTAGGTTAGAATGTAAATGTCGTAGAATAGCTGCTAGCCTATTAACTAGGGTAAGTAAGGGGTGCTAGTACTAGCACGCCTCTCTTATAGCCTAATTTAACCCTTAGATTAGGCTAAGGCCGGCTAAGACCTTTACTAGGTAAAGATTAGTTAAGCTAGGAAGAATATAATATATATACCTTCCTTCCTCCCTTCCTTAGAATAGCTGTTAGTTTCCTTAGCTTAGTTTTTAACTAGTTTTATTCTTTTAACTATAACTTCTTCCTTTAGACAAATCCTTATAACTAGAGTCTTAATTACTACTAGTTAAGGTAGTCTTATTACCTTTTAGTACCTTTAAAAAATAGTTTAGTTTTATATATTACGTTTAAATTTACACTTTTTACCCTCTTTATACTATACTACCTTCTCTTTACTAACTCTTTATTAGAAAAAGGTATTTATTACAATATATTTGTAACACCGCCCTAGAAAGAGGACCGACGCAGGCTACGCGTAAGCCGTACGTAGTATGCGCACAGCGTATTAGATGCACATTGTAAACTAGAAGCGGTGCTAGTAGCGCAGGCTGCGTGGCGCAGTCTGCGCACAGGCCATAGCACGTGCTAGCGCACAGGCCAAGTAGAAACGGGGTCGCGCCTGTCCTGCGCACTTGGTGCGCTAAAGGTGCACCTACGATAAAGAGCGCCTCTTGCACTTTCTTAGAGTATAGAAGGCAAGAATTAGCTATTAAATATACGGCTGCTTCCTTTTATTAAGAAGATACCTTTTTGCCTGCCTAACTTACCTAGCCTACTTAAGTATACCTTTAATAATATTTAATAGCGTTAATATGCTAGTTAGCAATAATTACTTAGTTAAGTATGCTATACTAACTAATAAATATAATATAAATTAGTTAACCTTTATACTTAATATAATAACGCTTTTTATAGCCTACTTTATATCTATTATTAACTATTATATTATATATAAAATACTTCTTTATACCTTTTATAACGTTATTAAATTAGCTTACTACTAGGCTAGCATTACTTTTTAGCCGCTATAATAAGTATTATAAAACTTATTATCTAGCTAAGTTTACTAAGATTATTAATCGCCGCCCTTTTATAAAGCTAACTATGCCTAGCTAGCTTATTTAAGTAAATATAATTAAAGTTAAACCTAGTTATATAGGTTTTTACTATCTTCTTTATTTTATTAATATTTTATTATGCTATTACTAGGTTAGCTTTATAATCTCTAAGGCTAATATTTATAACGCTTTTTATTGCTTTATAGCTTACTTTAAAACTTAAGCTAACTTAAAAATTTAAGCAATTAAATATAATAAAGGTATAAAGTCTTAACTTATAGCTTAGCTTTTTTAAAACTTCTAAACTTTAACGCTAGGCAGCAGCTTATAGTACTACTTTAATTATTATTACTTAAAAGTCTTCTTAGTAAAACGGTACTAGTAAGCGTATAAGATATATACTTCTTAATAAAGTATATATAAGCCTTATTTTATTAAGACTTTTTTATCTTTATAGCCTTTAGCCTTTTACTATTAAATTTATAGTTATAATAGTTAACCTAGTTTCTTTATAATAAAACCTTAACTACTAAACTCTTTACTACTACCTATTTAAAGCTCTTAAGCTAGATAATACAGCTATACTATATACCTAGCATCTTTATACCTTTAGCTACCGCGCTTATATATATATAAAAACAACTAATTATAAGTTGTCTACTAAGTTTGCTAAGTAAGCGCAAGTTAGCTACCTAATTAGCTATTATAGTCGAATCTTTTAGGTTTATTTTTCTAATACACACAAATATTACGCGTGTTTTTTGTCCGCTTTTATAATAGGCTAAAGCCTCTCTTAGCTTATAAAGAACAGCTTATTAATAGCATTATTAATTTTAAACTAGATTACTTACCTCTTAATAGTAATAAGTTGCTAAAAGCTATTAAAGCCTTATTATTAAATTATACCTTAACTTCTTCTACTCTTTTAAATATAGACTATTAACCTAATACGTTTTTTATTAACTTTAAGACCCTTAATAGGTTATCTCTTTATAGCAATTACTGCCCTTAAACGCTTATAAACTAGCGTTTACTACTACTAAACACGCCCTTAGCCTATTCTTTTATAGTCTTAGGATAATAATTAATACTTAGCCTAAACCTTATATTATATTCTTTTTAATAAGCTTTTACACCGATTTTAGTATTAACTATAAGCTCTTCTCTTTCTTACTTATATAGCCTTAAGTTGTTTATAGTTAGATCTACTACTACATTTTTATTTTAGTTTTCTTTTAAGCTTTTTATATATAATAAGCATGTTTTAAAGGCTGCTAAATATAATCTTAGTAATTAAATATATTAGCTATAGTTAACGCTTAAGAATCTATACATCTTAAAAGCTACTCTTATTAATGCTATTACTGCTTTTATTAATCTAGTTGCTTATAAAAGGGGTAGTATACAATGCATAGTTATAAAGGCTTAACTAGTTTGTACTATTATATTAAGACTTTAACTTAACAAACTATAAGAGATTAGTAAGCAAAGGCTTGCTAGCTAATATATACGTAGCTAAAAGATGCAGTATAGCGCAAACCTAGTAGGGCGTAGCATAGCTAAGTAGCCATGCTAGTCCTGTGCAACGTGTTAAGATAGTTTGTTAAGTCCGTCGCTTAGTAAGCGACTAGTTGCCGAACCGGTGCGTAGGGACGCGTATATAAAATACCCTTACACTATCCCCCTCCTCCCTAGGTAACGCCCCTATTAGCCTAAAGGTGCATACGCGGCAGCTACTTGCTTGTTAAAAAACCTCCTCTTATAAAGTTAGAAAAAAAGTTAAGCGCTCTAAGTTATTAGCTGTTGCTAAGCGGTTGCAGACTGCTTGCTTATGCGACTGCATTCGGGTAACGTAGAAGCGCACACGTACTGCTTAGTCTATAGCGGCAGTAAACGCCGGATCCTGCCTAATGCATAGGTCGTCTTATTCGTTAAAGCTCCCTAGAAGGCGTACAGCTCGGATCCTAGTCAGGGAACGCTTAGGTTGCCGCCAATAAGTGTTGTAAG